TACATACATGGTTAAACGGTATTGTTATAAGTTGTGTTGTTGTTTGCAGTGGCGACGGCGCTCAACAAACACATGGACCACCGGAATCTGTTCACGCAAAGGGTGTGTTGCAGGCGACAGAGTCACTTGGTCTACATCGGTCAAGGTAAAGCCTGCGGCCTCGTTGGCCACGCGTCCTTATTCGAAACCGGTGGCTCTCAAATGGGGGGTACGTCAAGTCAATCCAGGGCATACGTGAGATGTTGAAATATATTTAAAAAGTAACATCCATGCAAGAATGTTTTACGAAGAATTGTTAAATGATGTGAACTTTTCAGGAAATGACAAAATGAATGTTATTTTCGGTAGGTTATTTGCTTTCATTCCCCTAAAAACCAAGAGTCTCCCCCCCATATCAAAATGGTTCAACCCAACCTGTCATTCGCCATCTTGCATCACCTGTCAATCACTTGAAAATTTTCAAATGAAGTTCATGATTTCTTTTTGAAAACAGAAATGATGATCTTTATAACTTTATTCTAATCACAAAAGGGGACACTTTATGTTGATCATTTTTATGAGCACAAATATTTAGAATTAATTCTTTTTGTTTTTCTTTTTCGTTCACCCAGTTAGAGAGACCACCAGAAAAATGGAGTGCCAGAGTACCATTTCTAAACTGTTGATGTAAAATCAGATATTTTTTTTTGTTTGTTTTTTGATTGCAGACATCTCAGGGTTTGGGTGGGCCAGCTTCTCCATGCATAAGATCTCCGAGGCCAACAGCGCCTGCGAGTGCTTGTCCAGGCGTGCCTTATCCAAGACTTTCACCGCCACTCTCTCTGCGACAGAACAAAATGAATTCACCCACCTCCTCCAATGCCTGAATTTAGCGAAGCCTGCCTCACCTTTGGTCAAGTCGTGTATACCCAGTCGGACACGAGAGAAGTTCCCCGATCCAATCTCCCCTCTGAGCTCGTAGAAGCCCACCCGCCGTCCAAATGTGAGCTCATCCATCACCCTTTGTGAGTGGCTCAGGTCGTAGGACGCCTTGGAGAACGCCGTGTGCCGCGCCACCTCCTGCTCGACTTTGATCTCCTTCCTGTCCGGCTTTTGGTTCGTCTCTGCCGTGTTCCGGGATGCCCGTTTGAACACTTTCTCTGGGTGTTGTCTGCGGCGACCCCCTAAAAAGAAGGAGGATATACAGTTGAACCCACAAAACACAAATTCGTCACTTTCCACGCACTTACATTTTTGTGTGTTCTTCTTGTTGCGCTCTGTGTGGCTCTTGTTGTTCAAATACATGACGACTAGCCCATATAGGAGTCAGGTCGCAGAGGAGTTGATCTAAAAACGTCCACATGCGTGAGACAGCACTCTCAGGTGACGTTTCCCATATCTCGCTGCTGCCGTCGCTGCTGTGGCGGGATCATATAGTGGCCCGTAATGTCCCAAGGGCTGTAATCCGGGCTCCTCCCACGCAGACAGACCACAGACGGGCTTTGCAGAAGCTTTCAAACATGAATGCGAGAGCCTGTAAAACACAACAGTGGGATTATCCATTTTGTCGTTAAGATGCGCTGCGAGCGAAGGGGTCATGGCAGACTGACAGTAAGAGTTGCTCCTAATTACGTTTAATTGGTCAATTTTCACTGTGGAAAATGCCAACTTAAGTTAATACGATCCTGGTGGCATTTTAACATATATTTATCTTTCGACAGCACTTATATTTAATCCTTTTACTACAGTGGACAGTTGATCATTTTATCAGGTTACAGGGAGCATGAAAGGGTTAAGTGCCCTAGCTTTAAAGAATTACAATCATCTTCATCTTCAAAATAATTTAACAGGAGCCCCGTCACAGACGCACGGTCATTGGCGCAAGGCGGCCTCCAATTGTCACATGCAAGGCCGACGACATCATCCACAAGGGGAGATCTTGCGGGTTAACCCGCCAATCCCATGAACAGACCATAGCGTGCGTATTTCTGCTTTTGTACTGTTCAGGTTATAATTGTATTTATTTCTATAATTTTAAGTCACTATAACATTCAAAAATGTTCTCCTAAATTTGCACAAAGGGAAGTCATTTATTTGCTCATCGACGCCATTGACTTCTTCCCTTAGGTCGCATGAATAGAATTTCAAGAAAGTGTCCTTCCCAGTCCAAATCGTAAGCCAGTGACAATGGTGACACAGTGACCCAGACACAAGACAACATAACACCAGACAGACACACAACCTGACTCCAGACAGTCTACGTGTCACTGGACTGCAAAGACCTGATCACCTCTAAGCTTGGTACACGTTGCCCGGCGGATAATCCGATCATCTCCAGCCTGGTGAGCATGTCAGCACGTGATGATGATGACGCTGCAAGTTTGTGCAGATTTGAACATCATAATTCACAATGACACTAACGCGCAGGCCTCGACAACGGAGTCCCCAGAAGGAGCCCTCGCAAGCACTACTTCCAAGGAATCCAGGAAGATTGGGTACAGTATAGTTACAACTGTCACCTTTACATTGAGAATCACGTCTTTTTGTTTATGTATTAAATTTTCATGATTCAAAAGATAGCATGCTAGCATACATGACAGTGCCCCACAAAATTTGCCTCGCAACAAAGCCAGGAAGGAGAATCTGAGCAATTTTGCTGCAAAGCTGCTCCTGTTATACGGCTCCAATTTGATTCCATTGGCGAGTCACCTGAGGCGGGACGGCGTCCTTCTAACACTAGATGCGATTTGTAACCCGTGTTTTATATTTATTGTGCCTTTGTTATGTCATACCCTTGACTTTGAGCCCAAAAGTAAATGCGTCATTTCCAATGTAGAAAATAAAGGAATGCTGTGACATAAAATACATCATCTTCCAGTGTGCTGCTCTGCTGAAAAAAAAAAAAAAGGGCTCAGCTCTTTGGACCATTTGTTACCGCGCTGAATAAACACAAAGGTGCTGGAGGCGGTCCGGGAAGGTGAGGCCGGGGCGCCCCCGCGCTGATCCCGGCCTGCTTTTTGTTTTAAGTCAGAGGTGCTAAATACCTCCCCCGCTGAGATAAAAGATGATTAATGCCTCGGATTGACACGTTTAATGGCCGCGGGGCGACTTGAGCCACTTCATTAGGCTGAGCCGGGGGGCCGTGCTCGACACAACACGCGGGGCCAGAAAAGCGAACGCTGGCCTTGTTTTCGGGAGGTTCACCTTTGAAGTGGCTTGCGGGACAACTAGCGTCCTCTACAAAAGCATGGAAATTGGATTAGCTCTCACTTGCTTCTTTTGACTCCGCAGCAGTGACATTTAAGGCCGAAGCTCGTATAAATAACAAGAGGCGTTGGTGGGGCGAGAGGGACACTCTGGGTCTGGCGAGCTAAGGAGCAGGATGAGGGAAGTGAGAGCCATGCACGTATCCCGACAAGGCCTCTTTCTGCTGTGCGCACTCCACATGACACGTAAGTACTACTGGTTTGCTTTGCGGAGTACTCCTGAGTCCCTCCTTTACTTGTTCGGCCATACGCATCTGCATTATTTGCGAGTAGGATTTGCACCGTGCGCCAGAATTTGGCAGTTGATCACTATTTGATTGGACTGAAAATAATCTCTTTGGATACAAATAGGAGTGAGGCAGACCTATGTATCAATTCATGAACCTGCACCTTTTCGCTTGTGAGCAGGAGCCGACAGTACATACATGGTTAAACGGTATTGTTATAAGTTGTGTTGTTGTTTGCAGTGGCGACGGCGCTCAACAAACACATGGACCACCGGAATCTGTTCACGCAAAGGGTGTGTTGCAGGCGACAGAGTCACTTGGTCTACATCGGTCAAGGTAAAGCCTGCGGCCTCGTTGGCCACGCGTCCTTATTCGAAACCGGTGGCTCTCAAATGGGGGGTACGTCAAGTCAATCCAGGGCATACGTGAGATGTTGAAATATATTTAAAAAGTAACATCCATGCAAGAATGTTTTACGAAGAATTGTTAAATGATGTGAACTTTTCAGGAAATGACAAAATGAATGTTATTTTCGGTAGGTTATTTGATTTCATTCCCCTAAAAACCAAGAGTCTCCCCCCCATATCAAAATGGTTCAACCCAACCTGTCATTCGCCATCTTGCATCACCTGTCAATCACTTGAAAATTTTCAAATGAAGTTCATGATTTCTTTTTGAAAACAGAAATGATGATCTTTATAACTTTATTCTAATCACAAAAGGGGACACTTTATGTTGATCATTTTTATGAGCACAAATATTTAGAATTAATTCTTTTTGTTTTTCTTTTTCGTTCACCCAGTTAGAGAGACCACCAGAAAAATGGAGTGCCAGAGTACCATTTCTAAACTGTTGATGTAAAATCAAAATTTTTTGGGGTTTATTTTTTGATTGCAGACATCTCAGGCAGTCCCATTAGTGTGGATGTGGGCATGTGCAGGCCGAACTGCGGAGGGGCAGCGGCCAGGCCACCTCACGCGGCCGGAGCGCAGGACCTTGCGCAACACGCATCCATGCTGGAGTTCCTCAGGAGCAAAAAAGTAGGTGCAGTAACTCCAAACTACCACATGTGGGCGCTAGGTCTAGCCTTGTGACCTCCACGTGGTCTTGTTTGGGCCAATGTCATACTCTGACCTCAAATCCCAAGCAGCTGAGGATGCGCGGGCCAGTCGCGGCGGAAGGCGTAAAGCCCCGCAAAACGACACTGTCCTCGTGCGGCGCGAACCACGCGTGCCAGCCGACGGGCCTGCGCGTGGACCGGGTGCTCCTGTTCGAGGGCCCCCGCGAAGTGGAGGTGATACAGGAGTGCCACTGTGAGATCCAGCCGGCTCAGTGCATGCGCGTGCCCTCGCTGAGGACCTTCTACTCGGAGACGCCCTACGAGAGCGTCGTGGACGTGGGCGGGTGCTCGCAGTCCAAGGGCGCGCCAGGTACTTCGTTTCATTGAAGCCTTTCAAGTTTTCATTTAGTTCCCTTTGTTTGTTTTTTTCGTAATTCATGATGGATTTTTTTTTTTTCAATTGTAATTTGCTTTCAATATTTTGGAGGAAGTTTTCTATCAACAAAAAAAAATAGTGCGCTTGCTAAAAATTGGAGGCCAAATTCTCTGAAGGCTTGCCTGTCCTTTGAGTGGCTCTGGCCGCTAAGAATGGAGCAAACAGAGAATGCTTCATTCACAAAGCCCGCGTGGGTGAAATGCTTCACGAAGCGCGCTGCCAAGCGGAATGCCTCTCGTGTGTTGGCTGGCATTGGCGCATATTTCAATGAGGTCAATTGCCCACCTCTATCGAAATGAGCCTCATTGATAAACAACGTTGAATTCAACAGCAGTAGCGCTAATAGCCCCGCGCGGTTTGAGTGAAGCCAAAAATCTGTCGAAAAGTTGGGGTAAAATTGGCACTCGGCTGAGGAAGCCCAGTCATGGAAGCAGTCGCGTGGAAAAGGCCTCTTCATGGCAGGCAGACGCGCCCCCACTAACACGCACATCATGCACGGCGCATAAGGCCCCACCCGCCATGGGAGGGGCCTCTCGATTTGCATAAGGGGACGCTCCGACGTGTACAAGACATGCCAACCTAAATTATAGATAAATCGAACCTTTTCCTCGCCGTGGACGCTCACGAGAGCTTGATAAGCAAAACCTATATGTCCATAAAGCAAAATAGTGAGGCGATGGTTTTGATATTTTCAAGGATTGATGTGGGAATTAGTCCGATTTTGGTGAGGATTGACAGCAGTTTTCTAAACGGTCCCGTTCGCAGCTCTTCAGACGTTTGCCATTGACATTTGCAAACATTTTTTGAAGTGTCGACAAACCAACGGTGACAAGCAATTCAGGACTTGGTGCCATGTCGTACATTTTCATTTACTATGAATCTGATATGACTAGGCTGACATGTAACGATTTTTTCCCATTTTTTAAAAAAAATTAATCCATGAATCAGGTGCTTAAAAATTCCACCCGTTTATCGATGAGTTCAAACTAACTGGATTATGATTCAGTTACTGGTTCGGTCAGGTGTCCAAAAATCGGAAAACGTTTTGATCGTTGTTTTCCAAAGTCAAAGTAAATATCTGTCAATGTTTCATTGTGATGAAGCATCAAGAGAAATTGTCTATTTATGACTGAGAGGCTGAATTGCAAAAAACGTTGAATTAAAACAAGGTTTCTGAACGATTAATTGATTATCAAAAGAGCTGTTGCTTCATTTGAATATTGATATTGAACTAAATCAAATAATTCTCCCTCCAAATGTTTTCATTGTTACCGACCACCCTTCAGGTTCAGGTTGACGATTTATTTTCATTTGAATAGATTAACAAATGAAAGCATGGTCCAGTTTCTTTTGTGCACGTCAACCAAAGTTTTGCAGGGCTAATGCTAATTTTTTTTTGGGGGGGGGGTGCGGGGCTATTATTAATCAGACCTGTTCAAATGCGACGCCATGCGACTTTCTACACAGAGGGATTTTCCTGTGTGCCCACCAAATTCAACTCGGCCCTGGTGGAGACCCCCAACAAAGTGGACATGATCCAGACGGTGGTGGTCTGCGAGCTGAAGGAGAGCTGCTACCGGGTCCCTTACGTGGAGTACTACTACGAAATCGTGCAGCACGACGACGGCGTCAAGGAGGAGAGACTCAGGGTACGCTTAGAATGAGAATCACGCAGAGATGCTCGGCCTTGCCGGGGAAAACCTTTCCTTCCATTTTCATAGTGTTAGCACATGCAAAGCGGCCTCGTTTGTAATTCTGCTTTCACAAGTTGAGAGGAAACGCTGCTCTTGTGTGAGCTAGACACTAATGAAGTACTTTTATTCATGTTGGCCTGCGTGTGGCAGACAGCACCTTCGTCGGCTTCCTGACTTCCTCTCACTTATTCGCACCACAACCACAAACTGGGGGACTGGACCATGTCTACGTGGACAGGAAAATAACAGGACAAATACTGATTTCATGCGACTTTGCTGTTGGGGGCGAAGGGGCAGGTGGGGGGGGGGCATAATTAGGGATGGACTAAAGTGATCGGACAGTCGTGGCCAAAGCAATTCTAAAGTTCAGATCTGACTCGCCACATCATTTTATGAGGCCGGCAAAAGCAAGTTATGTGCATCAACTGAATTTAAATCTGACAAGTATATGGAAAAAAGTAAAGTCCTTAATAAACAAGTGGAATTGTTCATGGAAATGAAGGGATTCGACACCCTTTAAAATACTTTGAAATTCAAAATGTGACCCGTGAAAAACGTCTCCCCCCCACAAAAAAAAAATCTAGACTTTACTGATAAGAGTCGTCATTTTAAAACAAATAAAAAGAAAGGAATATACATCCCTGTTCTAGGCAATGCCACTGCATATGGAAACCGACTATTCATCATTGTAAGCGTTGTCCTCATGGATAAGAAGCTTTGTGTGTGGGAGTTGGGGGATTGTTGGGGGTCTGTTGTGGGGTGGTCTGGGCTCAGCAGTGAAGGTGCGAGCGTGGAGGACAAACACAAACGGGCCCCTGCAGGTGTCAAATCAAAGCGGCGGGCCACGCTAAACGACAATGTCAATATTTGTGAGCTGACGGCCCGTCTCTGTGTGTTGCTAATGCCCCGCAGGAAGTGGACGTTGGCAGATGTATGGGACGCTGCACCGCAGGAAACCGATGCCTTCTCAGGTACGTACGAACACAGCTGCCACCGACGCACACGCCCACGTCCTCCACGCCAATGGCCATCACTTCACAATTGCTTGTGAGCTCTGACACCCTCTCCAGCCGACTCTTTTAACTTTCCTCCACAAACACCAAATGTTCTTTTAAACACCCCTCGCTCTTTTTTGGGACTGGACTGAATGAGTGAAAAAAAGTTTGTTGTTTTTTTTTTTCTTTTTAAACATAGCACAGGTATGATCTTTTGTCTGCTTGAATATGCGGTTTGTATGAGCAACAATAACCCACAACCATGAGTTTGTATGAAACTGTTTGAAAATTAAATATACTGTATTTAACAATACTGCGTAAATACTGTAACTATATAAATCCCATTTAGTTAATCTAACCTTTGAGAGGGTGCTCACGAAAATACTGGCAGTTTTGAAAACCGGAAGTAGTATTTTATTAAACTACTTTATATATGTGCTAAAAGCTATAATCATTTTTTTTAATTTTAATTCGTTTTTGGGGATAAAATACTACCCAAAGAAGAAAAGTCCATCAAGTGAATTCTTTACGTAATATTTTAATTCTATACAAGTGTCTGTTTTCAGTATTTTCCAAAAATAGTTTTACACTAACTACTGTATTGAAACTACTTGAGCATGGCGGAGAGTGGCAGAGAGTTTCACGCGAGTCTACTCAGGTAAGCACACAGTCAGCCAATGAAATGTGAATGGCATCGTTTCCTCTTTCTCCAGGAGTCCGTCGGACCCCGAAATCTGCCACTTGTGGGCCGACAAACAATCCAACTTGTGTGTGCCTCAGGGATACGAGCGCCACGCATTCCTTAGCCAGCACGGCAAGATTAGCGCCATCCTGTCCATCACGTCCTGCCACTGCCCCAACTGAACACTCACAAAGACACGGAGCCCCCTACTGGATAGAAGTGCGCATGACATGCTCGCCAAGCCACCTCGTCCATCTTTCGAACCGTCCCATCCATCCAATAGAAGTGCGCATGACATGCTCGCCAAGCCACCTCCGTCCATCCTTCGAACCGTCCCATCCATCCATTTCTCTGTTTCTCTGTGCCGCGTACCCTCATCCGGGTCTCAACTGACTTTAGGGTGGTCGCCAGGGCAACATATACAGAAACAACCGTTCACACTCACACTTGTAGGTAATTTAGAGTCTTTAGTTCACCGAACGTGCCCTGCGGGAGGAAACCGGAGTACCCGGAGGAAAAGCCATGCGAGCGCATGGAAGGACATGCAAACTGCACACAGGAAGGTCGCAGCCCAGATGCGAACCCACAACCTCTGAAGTGTGATGAGCTAACCAGTCGTCCACCATGCCGGCCCTTAAAATATTGTTGTATAAATATGTAATATATGTAAAAATGGATAATTCTTACAAATAAATCTAATGCTGTAATAAATGTGCCAGTGTTTGTGTTTTATCTGTTATCTGTCATGCATATCGACATACGCGCATACATTTTACAAATCGTTGATCCTCACAGCGCTCCCAACATGCATAGAACTACCTGCCATAAAGAGAGCGTCAGGCCTCATGAAGCGCTTTAATGAAGATTCTTTCGGTATGAGTGAGCTTGCCACTATTTTACGATTGTAAGCAGCAATGAGCAATTTAAAACTGAGTTTCTGTTCAGGAATGCAAGTTCGTCATTAAAATTTGACATCATAATCATGAAGTAAGGTTATCCTTCCTTTTGCTTTGTTTTGACAATAACCACATTTTTGAAAATACACAGTAGAATTAATACTAACCAAAGATGAAAGCACACCCCCTTTTCAATGCAAATCCAAAATGATCAAACGTTGATGGTAAGATGTGCCCACATTAAATGGCAGGGGCAAATCAGCATCACCATTTAGCGTAAGCAATCTGTCTAGAATTTTCCAAAAGCGGTGCACGGGTGCACGCAAAAAAAAAAAAGTACATTACGGCGGCCAAAATGCACAACCTCTGATCTTACACAGGTGTCAAATCCAGGTCCAGAAAGTAAAACCTGCCCAAATGTGTCTTTGGCCACAGGTGCTTCAACTCAACCAGCAGGTCGAAGCATTTGTGGCTCAAGACAAACTGGCAGGGTTTGCTTGCTGGATCTGGATTTGACACCTCTGTCAAATAAGAGAATTTGCATTTCGGACGTCGACAGTTCAGTTGTATTTAAAGTCTAAGTACAAGATATTTGCAATTGACCTTCTAGAAATGTTTGTCTTCCACCATTCATTTCAGTAGCATTTTTTTTCAAAACTTTGACATGAAACGTTTTAATTTAATCATTAAGAATATTTGTTGATGATCCTATACACTCCAGCACTATTTTAATGTTGAGACTGTGCTTAACAATACCGGGTTTAACTAAACTATTAAATATAGTAATTGGGATTAAAACCTTAGCCTCATTTTAGATCTGTGCACTGTTATTTCATCAATAAGTGGTTAACAAAATGCGCACGTACGTCACTCACATAAAAACGATTCTGTCTGTAAGCAGTCATATATCATACCACCCACAGTCAGGCTTTCATGGAATAAAAGTTACACATAGACAGAACCATGCCCAACACGCTCATAATACAAGCAGGACCAAGTATGAATAATTAAAAAAAACAAAACATTACACATAGACAGAACCATGCCCAACACGCTCATAACACAAGCAGGACCAAGTATGAATAATTAAAAAAAAAACATTTTTGCTGAGCTTAATTACCAGATGATGCTATTTTCTTTGCCACTGCTCTGCTATCGTGTACGATCCCATGCACTGATTCGCTCGTTAACAGCCAATCAGAGTGAAGAATTGTCACCGAAGGCGGAAGCTATTTTTCATACCGTGATCAATGGCTCGTTCATTCCAATCACATCTAAAAAGCACAATGACAGAAAAAAAAATCCCCTAATTCTTTGTAATTTTAAACATTACGTGATACTTAGGTTGGTTTCTGCTTTTATTCCTGCATGGAGGTATGATAAACAGACGTGGAGGTGGCCAGGCGGAAGCTATTTTTCATACCGTGATCAATGGCTCATTCATTCCAATCACATCTAAAAAGCACAATGACAGGGAAAAAATCCCCTAATTCTTTGCAATTTTAAACATTATTATATTTAGGTTGGTTTCTGCTTGTATTCCTGCATGGAGGTATGATAAACAGATGTGGAGGTGGCCGGAGAGTCAAGGCTCGCAAGTAGCTGTGCCCTTGACAGAATATTTGGTTACCTTGTTTACTTTCACTGCCTTTGTTGTTGGATTAGGATCGTGAAATTTTTAGATATGCTTTGAAAATTTTGTTTTAAATATGAAATTCATAAAGGCATGTATTTGTCTGTATTTATATGGCATTTTGGGCATACATGCATCTGGTTAGGAATTGTGTGGTCCTTTTGCGAAACGGCACGTTTGTGTGACACGTCCAACAAGTGTTGTTTATTTTTTTTTATGGCTTATTTGCCCGCTTCGTCGTCGTGTGCAGTGGAGAACTTTGATCCCGCCTGCCTCCGCCCGTTTAAAATCAATCAACCTGTGTAAAAAAAATGCCCACCTCCCACAAACACAAACACACACATTCATACACAAGCAAGTTAACGGCGTCTCCCCCGACCGTGTCAAGAAATTAAAGCCGTCGAGACGATGAACCAGCTGTGACTCAATACGCTAACCAGTCATGCAAATAAGAGGGAAAAGGACGCGTAGCCAACGACACCAGTTAATCGCTTTCCATTATTCCAAATTAATGGATCCATTGGCAGGGTCGACACTTCCTCGAAAGGGGTGTTGGTGGGGGGGCGACACTTTCGCGTATAAAACCCATCGAGTAAAACTTTTCTCCTACCCTCCTCCTTTCTTTTCCACTTTTAAGTGGATTTGACTGTTTATTGCCAGACTCGAGGACAATAGCGGCCAGTCGGTGGACTTGGCACCTTTGTCAACACCGCCATTAGTCTCCCTTTACATTCGCTGATGGGTGATTTACATTAGCATCTTTTTTTTTTTTTTTTTTACTGCTGTTTGCCATGAGGTTAAGTGAGGAGGAAGAGGAAGGGGGTGCGCTGTAAAGATATAAATAAGTGCCCTCCGCAGTATTCACTATTCACTTCATAAGTCACTTTTTAGGGCTTGAGAGATGCTCGCGCTTGTGCTTCTGGTCGCTTCGGCGTGTACGGCGGTCCGGGCGCGGCCATCGGTCAATTACCTGGAGGAGCCCGACGCAACCGAGTCCACCCGAGCCCGGCCGGAGGAGGTCCGCTCGGACGCCATCAAGCGGCTCCTGGCGGTGTTCGGCATGGACGACCCGCCCGCGGGCGTCACGCACGGACGCAAGCAGCCGCCGCAATACATGCTGGACCTTTACAACACCGTGGCCGACGTGGACGGCGTGACCAAGGACCCCTACCTGCTGGAGGGCAACACCGTGCGCAGCTTCTTTGACAAGCGTAAGTCACAGAATGCGCGCGTCAACTTGTTTGCGCTCAGGAAAGAACGCCGATGTTCAGAATTTTGTTTTTTACGTGTCAGGAAAAGTTTTGTGTCCTTATGAATGCGCAGTCATTATTTTTGGGTGTTTTTTGTTTTGTGTTGTTTTTTTTTTCCATGGTAATTTTTCAAACTGTGTGATGGACGCAAAATAATAAAAATATTATAACATGCGATACTTAATCTTACCGTATTTATACTTGATCAGCCTATTTAAAATATACGTTAAATTAAAAAAAAAGTTACTAAATGTGTGAATACAAAGTCCTAAAAGATTAATCACAACTGAACTGCACTTAAATGAAAAAAATCACAGAAGAGTACCTATCCCCCCCCCCCACAATGCTTATGATTAATTACAATATTTAATTCAGTGATTATTTCACATACTGCGAGAGAGCCTGTGTACCACATTGCATAACTGTTCAATTTTGGTCAAATCAAATTGCTTCCAAGGTTTTCAAATTGACGTTGAAAGTATTCAAAAAATGACATTCAAATTCCTTTCAAATTCATTTTAAAGGCACCTTTAGAAAGGGTTTGAGAAAGGTTCTTTACTTGTCTTTACAGTGCATAGCGAGCAGGTGGAGTTCCGCTTCAACCTGTCCACCGTCGCCAGAACAGAGAAGATCCTCACGGCTGAGCTCCACCTGTTCAAGCTGCGACCTCAGGCCACGCTGATGTTCAGCAGACATCACTTCTGCCAGGTACAAGGCTTCCTGCACACATTTGCGGTGGATGTGTCGGGGGGGGCGAGCTAACGCGGCTAATCTCCAGGTTAGCGTCTACCAGCTGCTGGACACCATCAAAACCAACAACACGCAAGAGAGGAAGTTGCTGTCTTCTCGACTCATCCCGGTCCACTCCAACGGTTGGGAGGTGTTTACAATCACTCAAGCTGTGAGTGTCCCCCACACACCTCAAGTCGAAATGTAACGACCGATGACCGATTTGCTTGAAAGGACTAACCTCGAGTCGTGTTTCCACGAAAGGTTCGCTCGTGGACGGTGGATGAGGGCAGCAACCTGGGGCTCCACGTGGTCGTGCGAACCCTGGGGGGGACCCAGATGGACCTGAAGCTGATTCGCTTCGCCTCGGGACGCAACCACCACCAGAGCAAGCAGCCCATGCTGGTGCTGTTCACGGACGACGGACGACGACGGTCCACGACTCTGGAGAGCACAGGTGAGGTCCCTGATCATTGAATTCAAAGACATTTAAGATTCTGTATTAGGAGTGGGCCATATTACACAGTAATCATTTTTCTGTGTTGGGGAGGAGCTGAGTTTAGTCTGGGTTGTTAGTGGAAGTTATGGAAATTCTACATGCGCACTTCCGATGCAAATTCTCAAAATAAAATACGTCGTCCATTTATTCTTCGAGGCAAGATGTTGCGAGATGAGTTGCATGTCCTGAATAACGATTTTGTTTTTTGACAGATCCGGACAATACCGAAGTTACGGCCATTTTGCCCCAATCCCCCATGGCCGCCCAGGCACCCCCCCGCAGCGCCCGCTCCCTGGACCAGGCAGCGGCGTGGGCGGACGAGGAGGGCACGTCCATGCCATGCAAGCGCCTGCCACTCTACGTCGACTTCGAGGAGATCGGCTGGTCGGGCTGGATCGTGTCGCCGCGGGGCTACAACGCCTACTACTGCAAGGGCTCGTGCCCCTTCCCGCTGGGCCAGAACATGAGGCCCACCAACCACGCGACTGTGCAGTCCATCATCAACGCCCTGAAACTGATCAGGAGCGTCGAGACGCCGTGCTGCGTGCCCGACAAGCTCTTCTCCATCAACCTGCTCTATTTCGACGACGACGAGAATGTGGTACTCAAGCAGTACAACGACATGGTGGCGGGGAGCTGCGGCTGCCACTGACCGCACTCTTCCCACCCTCGTACCCCTTATCCTGTGTGGCATTGTATTATATGTAAATAGGTATAAATTATAATATATGACAGTAGTGATGTCCCGTGAAAAATGTAAATCTGCATATTTTATGTTTCCGGTTATAATTATAACGTTAGAATGAATTGTGTATACGTCTTCAAAGTGACTCAATACATGTACAGGGGGGGCCCTCAATTTCTGTCAGAATGGATGTTTGTCTACCACTAACTCATGCGGATGCGTCGTAAACTCATAATTACAGTCAATACTTGTATGAAAAAAACACTTGAAAGCAATAAATATAAAACGATCAATTGAAAAATATTCGGTCTGGCTGGAACTGACCATGGCTTCTTGTGCCTATGTCAGGACGATGTATTTTCAACATAGAAAACTGCCGATCAATATCAGACTTCTAATTATGTTTTCTAAATATGTATATACACGTTTTTTTTAATGGTCAGAATAAAAAAATAAAGTTAAGATTATATGAGATCAGACAACTTTGACATTTGGGTGAATAATATCGTTGGCAACTTGGCACGACGCACAGCTAGGTAGACATGAAAGGGGCGTCTGAGTGGCGCGTAACCCGAGCGCCGGTGGAGGCGTCGGCCCTGGAGTGGCACCAAAGGAGCGTTTGATAGCTTTTGGCACGATGCTGGACGACAGCCCTTGTTCCCTTTGAAAAGGAGCTGCCAGTCACCACGGAGGAGAAAGCATGTTATTAAGGGCCACCAAATGGGGGGGCCCTGCGGCGGCCCGACATCTGATCTGCTCCCTCCGCCCTGCTTGGCCTCCCTCCGGCCCTGGTGTTCTTTTGTGCCACCGTTTCCTATCCGTCAGTGCCCACCAGGTGCCCGACGACGACGACGATGGAACCCAGGCTGGGCGTTCGCATGCTCCGACATGGGGAATAAGCAAACTGTCTTTACTGCGAGGCAGCTGGACGCCTACCAGGTTGGTGTTGCAGGCTCGGCGAAACTCTTTCAAAAGGATGTTAAAATATATATTTTTTCTTTGATCAGAAAAACTAAGCTATCAAAAATGATGAGTATTCGGCAGCGACTAATGTAAAACTATTCTGTTACGAAAATGCTCATGGGTGAGCATAACCCGCAACATGTCAAATCATCCAGAAAATAAAAAACAAATGACAAAAATGATAAGAGTTAAAAGAAAATAACATCAATCAGACTATTGGAGAGTATTCTCTTAAAAATTTAAATGAAATTTGATTTGAGCGTCAAAATGACAATGCTCTATTAACGTCAAATCAGGGGGACCTGCTGCATTTTAGTCAAAAACAGATCAATAAAATAAGGCAAGTCAATTTTTTTTTCTAAAGATGCTTTTACATTTATTTATATATATATATTTTTTAAATTTAACAAAACCTTTGACATAACAGGAGGGTTAATGATATACTGTACAGTAGTTAATCGCTTTCAGTTAATATTCTATGTATGTATATTTTAGAGACTTTTTTTTTTCCTTGTTAAAAAAACACCAACAAAATGCTTTTTTTGTTTGTTTTTGTTTTTTTGGTGGGGAGGCTGAGACAAATCTCCGATCATCCCAATCGGTAAAGAATATGTGATCGTTTATGCGCATGGCCCCAGAATGAATAAAACTGAAGGCACAACTGTACTTGGAAAATAACCTTCAACCCCATGCTGCTTCACCAAATCAAATACATTTGGCATCGTGTTCTGGGTAGTTTCGAATAAAATGACACGTGACTTGCCAACTTTTTTTTTCTAGGACTGTACATATTTTACAAGGAAAGAAATTCTCCGGTGAGTAAAAGTTGTTCTGCCATTATCAATGATAATGTACGTCTTCTACTGATAACAAGAGAGTTACATGTCGCTGGTGTTCGGTACCGGTTTCAGACTCTTCCACCGCTATCACGATCTGGCGCCGCAACTCGTTCCGCTCGACTACACCGAGCAGCCAGATGTGAAGCTACCGTATGAGCTGATTGGCAGCATGCCCGAGCTGAAGGTAGCAAGATGCACTCGCTGCAACCCCGCCGTCGCTCCGTCTGCCTTCATAATTGATGACCAATTCATCCACAGAATTCCTTGAAAAGAACGCCCGTCACCTGACTCCTTTCAAAAATCGAGGAATACAGCTGGCACACAATTGCTAATGTCAGCGAACGCTAAAGCCTCTCTGGTCTCGATTTGACGCGGTGCGATGAACGGGCTCTCCCACTCCCCTTTTTTTTTTTTGGGCTAATCCTCAAAATTAGCATTTTTAGAAGCCGTGCCTCACCCACATGACATTACCGGTGTGTCTGGAATATTTCCCAGCAATTGTCAAAATCGTTTGCGTCAAAACAAAATGGCTGGCTTACTGTTCAATTTCATGCACGGGTCGATGAGACTTTTTCGTGCGTCCTGTTATGTTTGACAAAGCCACCTAATTGTGTGTTGGTCAATGAAAATGGTGTCAGGGATTTATTTTGTTAGGCCCCCTTTTCATCGGAAACCCTCTAAATCACAGGGGTCAAACTCAAGGCCCGGGGGTCATATCATTTTATGTGGCCAATTGAGGGCAGTATAAAGGCCAATTCATACCTGACACTACGTACTTCCCTACCTGCATGCAGCAGGCAATCAAATTGTAGCGGGGGCTTGTCATGCCTAGAACGTAAGTGGGAATCATATCGTCATTATTTGCAGGACATAAAGAATACAGGATATGACTCTCAGTACTGCAATGCCTGTGTTCAAATATGCGTTGCTTATAGGGTAATAACACACAGCGACATGGATGCTAATCATTAAGATAGCAGACTAAAGGCTAAACTATGCGGTTATTTTCAATACACAACACGTAATTCTCTTGCTTTCCGTTGCGTTTGACAGTAAACTTCAACCGAGTGGAAAAAAACAACTTGAGGCTTCTTCTGTTGAAGAATATTAATAAATTCTATCTGACGCAGCACTAGCATCTCACGTATGCACTCAAAAGATAGAGAGGGAGGGGGTGGGGGCGTTCAGCTCATACTGCATCTCCAAAAACTTCTGTAAATCGGGTCATGTGCTTCTCAAGGCATCCGAGTACTGAATTGATTCCAACAAAGATAATCGTGTCAAGTGGCATTGTGCGGCTGTCCAGGACAACCCGTTCCGCCAGAGGATCGCCGAGGTTTTTTCCGAGGATGGTCAAGGAAACATGACGCTGGACGATTTCCTGGACATGTTCTCGGTTCTGAGCGAAATGGCACCGAGGGATCTCAAGGCTCACTACGCTTTTAAGATTTACGGTAAAGAGTGAGCACTTCCAAACATAGACTCGCTAGCAAGCGGGAAACTGTTGTCTTTCCGTGCTTAGTGAGATAAGTGCGAAAACCTGAGCCATCTTTATTCAATTTCCCCAGTAGAATGTTGACCTGTATAACTTTGTGCCTCTGTTCTTTTGGGGAAGATTTCAACAACGACGACTTTATTTGCAAGTCAGACCTGGAGAAGACGTTGAACAAATTGACGCGCAACGAGCTGACAGAGGACGAGGTGCGCATGGTGTGCGAGAAGGTGCTGGACGAGGCCGACATGGACAACGACGGCCGGCTGTCGCTGGAGGACTTCCAGCACATGATTGTCCGGGCACCGGACTTCCTCAGGTGGCTCTCGCCGAAACATTACAATGTACAGTGAACTAAACTCACCTCAAAAATCGCAGCAGTTTGGTAAATGGAACACGATTTGTGGGCGGGGGAAAAAGAGGCTTCGGGCTGTTTAATCCCACTCCCAGTTCAAGTTTACTGTCGAACATAAAAGAAAAACAATTACACATTACTTGTTTAAACCAAGCACATAGCTTAGCATTCAGTCCACTCACTAGCTTCATGGGAACGCTAACACAGATCTGTCATGGAAAACGCATTTCTATCCCTTATAGCATCTGATATTTGAACACTATCAATTATGTGACTGAATTAATGTGCTAGATTTGTGATTTTGCCCTCTTATCCCATCTTGTGTCCACAGCACCTTCCACATCAGAATATAAGGAAATACTGACAAATGTCCGAATTGGAGGAGTCCTCACATCTCTGCTCGAGGATTTTTCAGATGGAAATAGATCTACAGTGTAGGATTTGGGTTTTTGATCTACAAGAGAGCCTGTTCCACCTGACTATAAAAGAAAAATGGGCCAGAAGGTTCTCTGGCAGATTATGTTAGTCATGTTATGAAAGTGATCACAGTCAATTGCGAGAAAGACAAATGGCCTTGACTGACTTTCCACAGACTCTCAGGCACAACGAGGAAGTAATGAAGCATTTAAGTTTACTTTTTTTTTTTAATTCATCCCAAAAAAAGTAGACCTCTGAAAAAAAATGCAGATACACATCTTCTCTACTAGTAGAGTAGAAAATACAGTACAATAAGTAGATCTCTGAATAGAATATTATACATGTCACAATGTATTTGAAATGTATGTGAAAATATAATTGTAAAAATGCACAATGTCAGATTCAAGAACAAAGCCAAAAACGTGTCATATTAAGCCTGGTCACATAGGATGTGCGTTTAATAAGAGTCCAAAATATTGTGTGTCTCAACAAGTATAAGACTAAAAGACCTGGAAGAGGAGAGACAATACTCAAGGAGTATTAGGGCCACACGGGAAAGAAAAAAAAAATCATTCCAATATAACAATTATTTTTTTAAGTTGTAATTTTATGCAAATAAACGATTTTTCTTTTTTTTTTTCATGAAAGTTATATTCTGTGGAATAAAAATCTCAATTTTCTGACAATAAAGTCTGACTGTTTTTGAGACAAAAAGGTCATAATTTTTTAAGAATAAATCTTGTTTTTTTTTTTTAAAGAAAAACATGATTTTATCATTTTTTCCCCCTCGGGAAAAAAAGCTCACTTTGATGTGAATAAAACCAGATTGTCTCCAAATAAAAAGTAGCTTTATTTTTTTGAAAAAGTAGGATAACGCCTGAACCCACAAAAACTAAACTACGATTTACAGTAGCGAGGGCTACATACGTCTGTGTGCGTGTGTGTGTGTGTGTGTGTGTAGCACACATGGGTCCAAAATTCACAATGCATAGCTGCACTGAACTCCAAGGACAAATGGGCACGCGTGATTTTAGGTGCAGGATAAAAAGTGCTGGAACGAAGTGAAAAAAAAAACCCTGTGTGTTGGAAGTCTGTTGCTATGTCAAGAATATAAATTGGCGAACAAAAAAGAAATAAAAAAAAAAAAAAAAAAAGAGAGAAGCTTAACATTGGTACGTGTAAAAAGGCTCCCAACACAGCAGCTCTGACATTGATGGAAGCACATATTTCAAAAAATAATGCAGAGCTACGGTCTTGGATTACAGTTCAACACATTGTGTGCGCTTCTTTAAAATACTGACGAAGATTGACTGGGATTGTCAGGACAGTACTTTTGCTTTTGAATTTTATCTTATATTTTCTTTATTATTATTTTTTTTTACAAATAATACTGTAGAAAAAAAGAGGTTTGAATAAATAGATGAAGCAGAAATCAAGATAAGCTTGTGAGTCAAACGCTGCTCTGGCTATACTCACGGCCGTTCTAAGAACTGGCACAACCCCTAATAAGACGCCATTGATGTCTCATGCAGTTTGTGGTAAAGTGCGAGGAGAGCTGAATGGGGGTCAGGGTGAGGGGGGGGTTGTTTTGTTCAAACTGCCAGAAACGTCATGTCAGCTTAACGTAGTATCAATCAGAAACCATCAAGTTAAAACATTTATAGAGTTGGACATATTTTTCCCCCCAAAATCGGGAATTTCTAGCATTTCTAGAGCTAAATTACTGACTGCCTTTGACAGCGATAAAAGTGGAAGTTCCATGAATTTAACTGGGCAGGCAGTGAATGAGCCAAGCAACAGCCCGTTTCACATCGGCGGTGAAAGTCACCGCTTTTTTTTTTTTCATAGGTCAATTTTTCAAGGGGCCATTTTGCAACTTTGGAGGTAGCAATTGCTGCTATCCTGCAAAAGTGCACACGGTCGCGGCATTATCCCGCTGTGTAAAAAAAAGCACAGTTAATAAATAGTCCCTTCTGGTTCAGAAACATCATTTAGGATGTGATGTGCCCACCTGAATTAATTTTCCGCTTTATGATGAAGCATCAAGCTTTTTTTCTTTTTTTAGTTTGTTTTTGAAGGAGCAGAACTGCTTCTGCTTCATTACACTTTCTTTGTGGGTCTATTCATGCCAGACAATGCCAAAAAAATGTCCCAATAGCGTAGATGAAACTGGCTTTTGGAGAGGAATTTTAAATAAAGTGCTACCAAATACCTGTACACATTTGCAGAAAAAGCAATCTTAAATGGCATCTGTGTGTTTGACGACCTGTGTGTTGGAGACGATTTTTTTTGTGGTCCTACTCATGACAAACATACCAACCAAATTTCACATGAGTATGTGAAACTGTCTTTGGAGGTGGAGGAGACATTTCACAACACTGCTACCAAATGCACATTTTCACTAAAATGGCCTGTTTTGTGGTCCTACTCACAAGAGACATGCCTACCAAATTTCACATAGGAAAGTGAAAATGGCTTTGAGAACTGACATTTGAAAACACTGCTGGCAAATCGTCAAAAATGACTCTAAAATGGCAGACTTCCTGTACATTTTCGTGCATTCTACATGACAAAATGGAACTGATGTAACTAATGGAATTTTCAAAACACTGCTACCAAAATGACCAAAATGTCAAACTTTTATGTATATGACTTCAAACCTGCTTTATAACTCAACTGCCAAATGACGCCGTTTGGCTGAGGTTCAAGCTTGTCAGTTTCTGGCTAGAAATGTATAATTAGAAAAAAAAAAACAGCAGTTACAAGGCTGTTATTTGTGCGCCATCTCGCTGTCGTCCACCTACCGAGCGCTACACCACCGCCGCACCTCAGAGATCTCCTGTAAACGACGATTGTCCAGCCGGGAGCGCTCAGAAAATGCGGTTTTGCGTTCGTGCGGACTTGCTATGAGGAGAGGGAATGAAAGGAAGTGCTCCCAAGCAAGCAAAAGTCTTATTTGGGCTTGAGCGAGTTCTTTGGTTAAAAGGCCTCGGCGGTCCTCAAAGGAGGCTGCAGTGGAAGAAGCTGCTCTTTTTCCGTGGCTCCAGAATCTTCACTGCTTGGCTGCTCCCCTGAGGCGGGTTCCCGTCCTGAGGCAACACAAATGATCAACACCTGGAATGGTCTCGAAAATCATGGGAGATCTCCGCCAGGGCTTAAAATAGAATTCCCATTTTGTTCAACGCGCCGTTCTCTAAATGCTTATCAAGATCTTCAATCTTGATAAGCATTTCGGAAAATGGATTTCCGCCGCAAGAAGCCAGTACTAGTTCGTGGGCCTGCCGATTTATTGTGTTGTTTGATGACCTAGTAAAGGGGTGGGAGTCAAGCCTTGATTAAAATATTGGAAAAATATAACTTTGCAACAGCGGCTTTTCATACATTAGGAATGTGCCTAGTATTTTACAATATCGTGTTTTGTTTTATAAATTAACTGCCCGGCCGAGCCGATCGGAGGTACGGTTAAGATGGCGATTATCAGTCTTGACCAATAAGAAGCGCTATACTGCGCAATAAATATTCTTCAAAAAAAGAAAATGGGGGTGGGTGTGTCGAAAAGTTCCCAGTAAATTCGGAAAATTTGCAATAAATTCTGGGGAATGCTATTCATTGTACATTTTCACCAAATGACAATCAAATGGCCATCCCAAATCAAAAGGGTAGACTTCTTGTGTCAGCTCAGGCACGGGTTGTTGAGTCTTCACGTGATCGATATGCCGACCAAATTTTGGTCTTATACAAACCACCATGAGAAAAAAGGTTGGAAAATAATCAAGTCATTCCAAGTATCATAACGGTTCTCCTTACCATTTTGGTGTCCATTTTGGATTTGATGTCTCTAGCGAGTGTCAAAAAGGCCTGCAAGTAGACATGGCATCACATTCATGTGCAATACACGTTTACTACTAGTCTTGCGAAAGGAGGTTTGGAACCTACGCTCTCCACGTTGACGTTGGCCTTCGCGCTCGTCTCCATGAACTTAATGCCATACTCTAAAGCCAGCTTGAAGGAAATTGGATGGAATCACATCAGAATGATTTCTAATATATCCCTCAAAACAGGGGAAAAAAATAGTCTTGCCTTGAGATATAAGTTTAAATTGTTCCCTGACCACACTTGTAACTCAAAACATCATCTTTCCCCAATGAAATGTGTGCATTTGCACTTTATAACATTGGACTTTGTAAAAGTCGTAATAGAAGAAAATGTGAAGAATGACACCGTTTGTGCATTATGATTTAATGCTGCAGCCCAAATCTTCGTGTTGCTCAAGCTCGTAGCTTGTATCTCAAGGCACCACTGTGTCATCTCTCAGTGTGTTTCTTACCTTTTCGCCCCTGTCTTTGGACACCTGTCGCTTGTCATTGATGTCACATTTATTGCCGAGAACCATCTTCTCAACGTCAGATGTTGCATGCTGGAATAAGAGCGAGGACAAAATTGGGATAAAGTCACAATCCAAAAACAAAAATGAAGTGGGGTTATTTTTTTGGGGTTGAAAAATGAAATTCAAAATCCCTGCAAAATACAACAAGGATCATATACTTTCTCGGGAACGAGACAATTTGTGCCACTCAAAACCGAAAAGCAGGATTGAAAAAGGAAAGAGAATGAATACCTCCTCTATGTTCCTTATCCAGTTCTTGATATTTTCAAAAGACTTCTCATTGGTGATGTCATAGACGAGCATGATTCCCTGTAGAAAAAGGTGGCAAAGGTTCGTGAAGCGCAAAAACGAAAGCTGCATTCACTTAAAAATTTGCTCCATTTTTAACCCCAATTTAAAACGGTTACAAGGTGTCTTAATAACATGTCTGTGACACGCTTCCATCAAAATACCCAAAGGATCAAGAATTACAGACTTTCATCTGGTTTCCAAAGGCCCGCAATGCTCTGTGTTGTGTGACACCCACAGACTGAGAGGTTCTGTACTGACCATGGCTCCTCTGTAGTAGGCTGTTGTGATTGTTCGGAAGCGCTCCTGACCGGCTGTATCCCTGGTTTAGAAAAACAACATCAAAATGGATGGTGTAATGTGTTGTCGACACTTGTTTTCTTGACATTTCTTGAGCCAAGGCGCACATTTTACATTTGAAAAATGTCACGACGCAGCAAACAAAAACGTCACTAAGAAGTGAAATCATGATGACCCTGTCTGAATTTATTCACAGACTGATGGGTTTGTTCAACTGAACACAAAGCTAATATCGTGCTGTGTAAATGGCAACTAGTGGATACACAGGTTAACTGTACTTTTTGCTCTGTAATGCAAGAGCATTTAAAAAGTCTTCCATTAAATTCAACTTTAGGTCGCTGGCACGGATAGATGAGCGTCAACAAATTATTTGCAGGAAATAAACAATTTTGGGGCGAATTAAATCAGTAGAAAATTTCCCTCATCACACCTGTTGATAAAATTTGGTAGGTGACTTCGTGGAACATTACGTTGTTGTAAACGTCAATGAGCAAAGGCAGGAACTGACACCGCTTTTTCTCGACGAAATAATAAGCAGCATTGGTATCATGAGACTCAACTTACCATATCTGCAACTTGATCTTCTTGCCGTCCAGCTCTATTGTCCTTATCTTGAAATCTATGCCTAGAGGGACGATCGCACACGTCAATCATAGCAGTTTACTCGCTCGCTACCTTTGCACGACAGTCACTAACTAGTATTATTAACAGCCTCAAAATGTCACACGTAACAGAATTAAAATGTAGGGCGACAAAATCATTCCGTCTGATATTTGGCGTTAGCGCCAACAGCTAATCGCTGCGCTAACCGCACGCACTTGACTTTATAAAAGCTGACAGCTTGTGGGCAATAGGAATGCTCACCACCGGCGAATGTTTTTTATAAGGTTCATAGGGTACACTGGTGACAGCTATTCAATTGACAAAGTCACATAGCGTAATTAGCCCGCCAGCAAATAGACCACATCGGTGGGAGTACTATTCAAACGTGCCATGTGAAATGAACTTTATATGTACCTATGGTCGATATGAACGTAGAATTAAAGGCGTCCTCGGAGAACCTGAATAGGACGCACGTCTTTCCGACCCCGGAGTCTCCAATTAATAGCAGTTTAAACAAATAGTCGTATGTCTTCGCCATAGTTGTTGATATTGAGTGCGGAAGTGACGCGCCCGGCGAAGCACAGGTACGTCAATTATATCCAATTAAAAAAAACTACAGCGACACCTGTATGGCTTGGAGGATAACTGCATCATATGGACCGTTGAACGAGGAGGACCTTTTTACTGGAAACCAACTCAACTGGCGCACAGAGGTTGCAGAAGTACAATACTCAATCTTTGTCCCAAAAAGTGAGTTGAAACCTGTTTACTAATTTTAAAGTAATTAAGTATGGCCTCTGCTTATCAATCATGAGCACTACCCATTTCTATTGGCACAACTAGAACCGCTCACAATATAGTTTCCCTCTTTTAATACCTAAAGAATGACTTTTCACATTAGATGGATCATTTTTTTCCGATAGAAGCCTTTATTTGTAGGCTGGCTTAAGGCACAATGCATTTGCCATGAATCATTCTTAGATTAACCATCAAACTATTCTCCGATATAAAACTATGGATGGGAAACATCTTGTTAATCTGAAACAAACTCTTGTGCCATTGTAAATACTGTACTCCCTGCTACAGGTTCTAATTTATAAACTTGATATCAGTCAATAAATCAAAATCTCATCAGCAGTTGACTTGACCTCTCTCTCTTTACATCGTTTTTTACGTTGGATCATTCACATGGGGTGAAAAAGTCATTAGCCCATTATGACAAAGGAGTAGAGCCTTAAGAGAGTAATAGATTTTTTTTGGTGCTGATCATAATCTCTCCATGGGACAAGATAATTTTTCCACCCCGAAAAAAAGTCATTGTGCATTGTAAATTCAATATCAAAATCACTATTGCTGAAAATGTTCAGCATATCTGGAATATTACAGAGATGGGCAAATCGTCAGTCATAAACAACAACATCATGATTGTCATCCTTGTCAGGTTTTATTCAACAAAATTGCTCAGCACTAAAATTTGATATCATATGGACCCAAAACCATTATAAAAAGGGGGTATGGGGAGGAAAACAAATAACCATAAATATATAAAAAGGACTAAATGTGTTACTATCATTGTGGTAATTGTTGGGCTGAAAGTAATGCAAAGGAGGGAATGTGTTCTCTTTCACAAAACTTTGTCGGAATTGCTTCTTCTCTGTGGTGTCTTTACAAGCTATTGAGCTCTTGCAGTGTTTGGTCCAGGACTTGGTGCATTCCTAAGTTTTCCTCTTTTGCATGCGATAGATTATCTGCAGTAGGGGAGAATGAGGGGGGTCAGATATACAATGTAATGACAAGGTCACAGTCAAAACCAAAACTAAATATTGCAAAAAGCAGAAATACAGGAGACAGGGTAAAATGAAAGATGTCTTTATTGAGCGTTAAGAGGAAAAAAGAGAGCTAAGGAGAGAAAAGGCACTTCCCTACCATTGCCGCCACCAGGCCAGGAGACAAAAAGAGCAAAAGTGAAAATAGAGTAGCAGCTGTGGCCAAGAGGCTTTTTTTTTTTTTTTTACAAGGTGTTCATATCATTGAGGGCATGGTCCAGCTCCTCGCTGATAGCCTTGTAACTCAGCTTCTGATTGTACAGTTCGTCTGAAGGTCAGAAAGCAGGCAGATAGGAAAGCAGGACCAGAGGGGAACAAAAAGCAGGAAAAGGAAAACGACAAGTCAGGTTTAGAGGAGAAAAAAAAAGAGATGAGGAAAACTGACACATGAAGAAATATTTGAAGAAGACAAACCTTCCAAGTCATCTATGGACTTTTCCAGCTTGGCCACTGTCCTTTCTGCAAATTCCGCACGGGTTTCCGCCTTTGAAAACAAACAAACAAACAAAAAGCAAAAGAACCTTACAAGACAGCCAGAATGGACTTCTGAGTGAAAAAAGAATTCAGCCATTCACTGACCTCCTTCAGTCTGTCACTCAGGACCTTGATCTCCTCCTCGTATTTGTCTTCTTTCTCTGAGTACTACAAAGACAAGAAAACACACGTCAAACAAAATGTACTTCGAAGTTACGCTATGTTTTGCTCACATTTGATGGTGTGTGGGGGAAAAAGTACTTCGCAGCTAAGCCTTGCGTGAAATTGGGGATAATTTAGGCAAATTTCCTCGCACACACACACACGCACGCGTAAACACAATTCTTGCCTTGTCAGACTGGGCCTCAAGGGACTTCAGGTTGTTGGTGACATTCTTCAGTTCTTCCTCCAGGTCGCTACACTTCCTGTTGGGGGCCAAAGACAACAACATGACTGTTTCTGATGCGTTACGGGGAGTCTGCTTTTAAAAAAACAGCGGCGGGATTTTCGTTTTATTTCATTTTAAAACTACTTTTGTTTTCTCTGCTTTGCTTCTGAATGTCGTGAACTGTTGTGTTTGTACATACTTGTGGGTGTTGCGTCTTTGCTTGCTTGAAGCTGATTGAGTTCCCTTCTGTATGAAATGCGCTATTATATAAATGTGCCTTGCCTTGCTGTTTATTTGGGAGTGTTTAATGATTAAACAAAACCTCGCAATCGACAACTCGGCAATCAAGAACGAGCTTTATAAAACGGAGAGCTAGTTCTTGGGTACTGATTAACGTGAAGGGCTACTAGTTTGATATCCACTTCCAAGGCTCGATTATAAGCAGTTTTGCATCAAAATGTATGTCAAAACTGTTCTGCAAAGACAAAAAATATATATATTTCGAGCCTTGACTTCTGCGGCTGCTTCAGGTTTTACGTATGTCATTTACTGGTTATTCATACTGTGTCTGCAAATAACGAATAAGTCAAGATTATTTACAGCATATGGCCCAGAAAAATCACACACAAGAAAATTGTGATTATAAAATTATTTTCAGGATTGGATTCAACAAAATTTTTTAAACGGATTTAGAAAATGAGGATTCTGGTTTGGTCTGTAGCATGTCAGAAAATAGGCAAAAAAAAAAAAAAAAGATAATTGCTTTCCGATGTAAAAACAGTTCACCACAGGGACACATAACCAATCTGTTTTCACTGAGGACTACAGAAATCTGAGAATATTTACATTTGCGGGATTGAAATCAGAGGAGTTGAAATTTTAAATTAAGCAATGATAATTCAATTACCAAAATTGTTGTTTACTAATTTGATAAGTTGTGCATTAATTGATTAATTGTTGCAACCCTATCAAAGGTAGCACAATTGACAAAATCTCTTACACTTCTGCAACCTCTGCCCTCTCCTCGGCTCTCTCAAGGTCGGTCTCAAGGATCACCATCTTACGAGCCACCTATTGACACACACACACACACACACACACACGTATGAAAACGGAAATAACACACACGCGCGCGCACACACACGCACACACACGTATGAAAGCGAAAATAACACACGCACACACACGTATGAAAGTGGAAATAACACACGCACGCGCGCACACACACTTGGTTAATCTGTTGACTACATTATCGATTAAGTGATGAAAGCATATTTATAATTCCATCCCATTGATCATTGTTTTCCAAAGGAAAAGGAAATGTTGTATTTTGATTCAACGCAACATTGATAATATCAAATTATAACTCAAATATAATAAGACTTAAAAAACACAGAACATGAAAAACATTTATATCCGGTTGGAAAAAACAGGTTAAAAAAAACGCTTGCAATGGGATTCCGCCTGATTAAACTGAGCAACAGAGGAATTTCTGAACGAAATGAACATTACACACACTTATGAGTGCCCACAGCAGTGTTCCATCTGGGCTTTTTTTTTTTTTCTTCCATTGATCAATACATTCTAACCGAATGGATTGCAGCTTTCAGTTACATAAGACACGCCAAATAAGACAAGAAACGGTCCCCGGCTGCTGTTTCTTCTTCCACACCAGAACACTTTTACGTTTAAAATAAAGCGTTCAAAAAAATGATAGGGTGGGGCTTCTGCTGTAAAAGTGCATTTTGAGATAAAAGCATCGTGCTTTTGGCATATAGTGGGCTCAGGCTTCGTGAACAGTAAAAAATAATAGACGAAAAAGAAAAAGGATGCGTTTTTAGGGCGAAAAGCTCACTTTTTCGCGCAGCTCCCTCTCTGTGTCCAACTCCCTTTGGACGGCCATTGCGCGTTCATCCGCCTCATCAACTTGCTGCTGCAGGGTTTGAATTTTCTTCTTTACAGTCTCCATTGTTCTCCTCGAATTCCCCGACAAACAATGCAGAGAACCAGCAACGACGAGCCTCCTAGCTCACCAAAATGTGGAATTTTTGCGGCCGGTAAGCCTTCCACACAAACTTTTTTTCTTGCGGAAAACTTTTTTTTCTTTCCTTTCTGCTTTTTCTGCTCCTCCCCGGGCAGGAAATAAGGGACGTTGCGGGAAGTGTGGAGATGTGCAAGGAGGGAGGGTGGAGGGAGGAGATGCAGGGAAATATACGGCCAGATCCGCCAATCCTGCGAAGAGTTTGGCTCTGGGTGACGACACAGGTCGCGAAAGGGGAGGAAGTTCTTTCTTTTTTTGTGTCGGTGTGAGCATGCGCAAAGGGAAAGGTGACCAAAGTCCGCCTTCTGCGTGAGTGAGTGTGCAATAGTTTGGCAAGTGTGGACTTATAAGGCGAATGCATTTTTGTGTTCTGATTAAAGGGGCGTGTTTTTGGAGAGGGGCGTCTGATATGATTCAGTAGCTGATTCATTACATGGGAAAGGAGTGACGTAATTGTCTCGGTGGGGTGATGACTGGGAAGGGAAGTCTACTTTGTGTGTGTGTGGGGGGGTGTAATCCTCATTCAAGTGATCTTGTTGACCCTCCACACCTTTGTGGAATGTCTATTAATTTGGGCCGGCAGCCATCAGGCGGCAACGCATTTACTCCTTTGGCCCTTCACCCACTCAGCCGCACTCCTTTTCCTTCCTCATTTTTGCTTTAGTCCCACATTTTTGTAATCCTCCTCTGCAGAGTGAATGAGGAAATAAGGCCTGACGCCCATTTTTCATGGCGAGTTCTTAAAATGGACGCTAAGCTCACACACACACACACACACACACACGTATGAAAACGGAAATAACACACACGCGCGCGCACACACACGCACACACACGTATGAAAGCGAAAATAACACACGCACACACACGTATGAAAGTGGAAATAACACACGCACGCGCGCACACACACACACACACACACACACACACACACACACACACACACACACCCAATGGAACACAGCTTGCAGATGACTCGTCGTACCTCCTCATATTTGCGGTCGGCCTCCTCTGCGATGTGTTTGGCCTCCTTGAGCTGCAGCTCCTGGATCTCCATCTTCTCCTCATCCTTCATGGCTCTGTTCTCCACCACCTTCATGCCCCTGGAAATGGCGAAGGTGACCAAAATAGAGCAAATTAATTGAATATTCTTACTTTACCATTAATATTGAACTGCAAAGGGCGGCAGGCATCAATTAGACGTGTATAGTTTGAATTTGGCCTTTTTATAAATAATATTAAACATTAATAATAAATGACTGGCGTAGCTCTCTGTATCATAAACATGGGCCCACACAACACTGTGGAGCAACCATGTATCATAGTCTACACCAAACAGTAATCATTATTAGCATTAATGCATGATCTTTAATACGGCACAGGGAAGTTGTTTACAATATGTAGTAAGACTCCACACTTTCATTTATTCAAAAACTGCTCATGTGGGTGAAGTGGTGCTGCTGTTTTGGTTTGAAACGAAGATCAAATGGGCTACCATAAAGAAAAAAACAAAAAGCTAAAAAATCTTATATGTTGTGTGTGTTAGCTAGATGCTAACAGGAGATGGGCTAATGGTGTGCAACAAGCGCAAAATTGTAACAAAACTAAACTTGCTATCCAAATCTAGGTGACAGGATATTAGCTCATGCTGTGTTAAAAGTGCCTGAAGATAAGGCGAAACTTTTGGGCAAAATCGTAAGAGTATATGATCTTGTGCTGTCTGGCAAATGCAAAAAGCGAACATAAATAAACCTGTTTGCCAAATGCTAAAAGTAAATAAATGCCCTTATGATGTGTTACAAATGCAAAAATGTAATGGAAATAAACATGTTAGCCAAATGCTAACAGGAAATGGTTTTACGGTGTGCCGCAAGCCTTTTTATAGACAAAAGATGGAAATGATGCGACCCAAAACTATGACGCAATATTTTTTCTATTGCTTTGGCATTATGCCGTCACCTTTCGCTCTCATCCGCCGCCTTCTCTGCCTCCTCCAGCTTCTGGAGAGCCGTGGCCAGCCTCTCTTGGGCCCGGTCCAGCTCCTCCTCCACCAGCTGGATCCTGCGGTTAAGGGACGCCACATCGCCTTCCGCCTACAGCGGCACAGGGAGGGAGGGACGGAGAGTCAGAGTTGAAACAGGAAACATGGCTTTGTCCGGAAAAGGACATTGCAAAGACCACCAGAACTACCCTGAATATCCCCCCTCCACTAGTTCTTCCTCAGGTGACTGATTGCTTTATGCAAATGCATGACATCACTCGGAATTCCTGCGATTTGACCTACTGCCGATGGCCTACAAACGGGACCGCTGGTGATGTAACCCGAGAGACTCAGCTGGCGTCACTATACCTGTGACCGTGAGCCCTCCCTCACTCCTTTTCCTCAACCTGGATGTTAGGGATGGTGCATTGTCGGGGCCTGTTTCCTGTGACGCCGATAACACAGTTTGACGGCCACTTCCTGTGAAGGACTGGGTGTTCACCATTTAGAGTGTTTAAAATATAATAATAAACAATAAATATATCAATAAAATAGTCAATGTACATAACTGAATTTTTCTGTTTTTATTTCGCAATTTCAAACACAAATGGAACAGATAATCTCTATTTGTGAATGAACAAATTGGATTTTTTTTTGTTGAAAAGTACAGAAAAAAAAAGATTTTCTTGAATATAGGTATGATACAATACAATTTTATTAGACAAATTAAATTGTGAAGAGTTAAAAATAGAGATGAACAAATGAAAAGTTTACAATTTAATTTTCAAGATTGTTAAAATTTATTTTATAAATATATAGAACAATTTATTTTTAAAATATATATAGAAAATGTACTTATTTGTCAAAATAACTCTTGGAAAAATATAGAACTATATATCAATTTATATGACAAAATGTAATTATGAGAAAAACATTCAAACATAACTTGTTAAATATGTAATTTCAAATGTAGAGCGCAGCGTAGTAGATTTATATATTTATTACTCATCAATTTGGGATGCAGCTTATGATTATTTTAATCGTTGGTTAATCTGTTGACTACATTATCGATTAAGTGATGAAAGCATATTTATAATTCCATCCCATTGATCATTGTTTTCCAAAGGAAAAGGAAATGTTGTATTTTGATTCAACGCAACATTGATAATATCAAATTATAACTCAAATATAATAAGACTTAAAAAACACAGAACATGAAAAACATTTATATCCGGTTGGAAAAAACAGGTTAAAAAAAACGCTTGCAATGGGATTCCGCCTGATTAAACTGAGCAACAGAGGAATTTCTGAACGAAATGAACATTACACACACTTATGAGTGCCCACAGCAGTGTTCCATCTGGGCTTTTTTTTTTTTTTCTTCCATTGATCAATACATTCTAACCGAATGGATTGCAGCTTTCAGTTACATAAGACACGCCAAATAAGACAAGAAACGGTCCCCGGCTGCTGTTTCTTCTTCCACACCAGAACACTTTTACGTTTAAAATAAAGCGTTCAAAAAAATGATAGGGTGGGGCTTCTGCTGTAAAAGTGCATTTTGAGATAAAAGCATCGTGCTTTTGGCATATAGTGGGCTCAGGCTTCGTGAACAGTAAAAAATAATAGACGAAAAAGAAAAAGGATGCGTTTTTAGGGCGAAAAGCTCACTTTTTCGCGCAGCTCCCTCTCTGTGTCCAACTCCCTTTGGACGGCCATTGCGCGTTCATCCGCCTCATCAACTTGCTGCTGCAGGGTTTGAATTTTCTTCTTTACAGTCTCCATTGTTCTCCTCGAATTCCCCGACAAACAATGCAGAGAACCAGCAACGACGAGCCTCCTAGCTCACCAAAATGTGGAATTTTTGCGGCCGGTAAGCCTTCCACACAAACTTTTTTTCTTGCGGAAAACTTTTTTTTCTTTCCTTTCTGCTTTTTCTGCTCCTCCCCGGGCAGGAAATAAGGGACGTTGCGGGAAGTGTGGAGATGTGCAAGGAGGGAGGGTGGAGGGAGGAGATGCAGGGAAATATACGGCCAGATCCGCCAATCCTGCGAAGAGTTTGGCTCTGGGTGACGACACAGGTCGCGAAAGGGGAGGAAGTTCTTTCTTTTTTTGTGTCGGTGTGAGCATGCGCAAAGGGAAAGGTGACCAAAGTCCGCCTTCTGCGTGAGTGAGTGTGCAATAGTTTGGCAAGTGTGGACTTATAAGGCGAATGCATTTTTGTGTTCTGATTAAAGGGGCGTGTTTTTGGAGAGGGGCGTCTGATATGATTCAGTAGCTGATTCATTACATGGGAAAGGAGTGACGTAATTGTCTCGGTGGGGTGATGACTGGGAAGGGAAGTCTACTTTGTGTGTGTGTGGGGGGGTGTAATCCTCATTCAAGTGATCTTGTTGACCCTCCACACCTTTGTGGAATGTCTATTAATTTGGGCCGGCAGCCATCAGGCGGCAACGCATTTACTCCTTTGGCCCTTCACCCACTCAGCCGCACTCCTTTTCCTTCCTCATTTTTGCTTTAGTCCCACATTTTTGTAATCCTCCTCTGCAGAGTGAATGAGGAAATAAGGCCTGACGCCCATTTTTCATGGCGAGTTCTTAAAATGGACGCTAAGCTCTGTCTGTACTGGACGTCAAAGGCCAAAAAAAAAAAGCCCAAAAAAGCTTCATAATTAAGCGTCAATGCGGTCCTAGAACCACTCATGGTACATGGGCCCCTTTCATGGGTGATGAATCACTACAAGTACAATTCAGTGGTAGATAAACTTTGATTTCGGGGTGGTGTTTGACCTTTATGTGCAGTGCATTTGAATGGAAGCATTATTTACGAATAGTTTCTTTATCTATTCATCCATCCATCCATCAACTATCTTCGACTGCTTTTCTGGAATCAGGTTGCGGGGGCAGCAGCTTTAGTTGGGAAGCCCAGACTTGGCTCTCTCCAACAACTTCTTCCATATCTTGCAAGGGGATCCCAATCCAACATAGTCCAACATAGACATGGTCTCCTGGTTTGTCCCCGAGGCCTGCTGCCGCCAGCGGGACATGCCCAGAACACTTCACCAGGGAGGCGTCCAAGACGCATCCTAATCAGACACCCAAGCCACCTCATCTGGCTCCTCTCAACGCGGAGGAGCAGCGGCTCGACTCAGAGTCTCACCTTATCCCTAAGGGAGAGCCCTGACACCCTGCGGAGCAAACCCATTTCAGCCGCTTGTATCCGGGTTCTCGTTCTTTTGGTCACCGCTCATCACCATCGGTAAGGGTAAGAACATAGATCGACTGGTAATCATCAGATGTTCCCAAGTGACCTTGCTGGCTTGTGTGTGTGTGTGTGTGGGTGTGTGGGTGGGTGTGTGCGTGTGTGTGTGTGTGTGTGTGTGCGTGCGCGCGGTAAGGGGCGATCCCAGTCCAAAAAGTTTGGGCACC